CATTATCACCTGAATCCAGGTCTTTTACATTAATTATACCAATAGTTGTTCCAGGAGGAGAATCCTCTGACAGGGGGCTAGTAAACGACATGACGTTTATAATAGGGGCATTATCATTTACATCGATGACTTCAATGACTACTTTACTTGAATCAGTCAGTCCTCCTTGATCCTTAGCATCAATTCTAAGTTCATACTTTTTGTCCTTTTCATAATCAATATCGCCCTTAACGGATATTATTCCCGTATTTTCATCAATTAAAAACAATTCACCCAGAGCACTGTCAAGGTCTGAAAAATAATATGTTATAAAGCCGTTTGAACCAGAATCTTTGTCACTAGCATTAACAGTTATAACGTACGTGTCTTTAGGAGACATTTCCGTGACGACCGCTTTATATACAGACTGGTTGAAAATAGGTGCATTGTCATTAGCATCAAGGATCAAAATATTTATATTAACGGTACCAGATCTCTGAGGCGTTCCTCCGTCCACGGCGATCAGTTTTAAAGACAGGTTTGGGTTTGTCTCTCTGTCTAATGGATTCTGCAGAACCATCTCTGCATATTTCTTTCCATCCGCATTTGAATGTTGTTTTAGAATAAAATTATCATTATCGCTCAACAAATATTCTCTCAGTCCGTTCACACCCACATCTAAATCTTCTGCACTTATCAGCGAGAAACGAGCGCCAACAGTAGCGGATTCACTTATTTCAAAATCCATGCGGGAATTATCATTTATATCTTTGATCTCGACTGTAATTTGATGTAGCTCCATTGGATTTTCTAAAATAATCTCAAAACTGAAACTACAGGGTGTTGTGTCACCGCAAAGCTGCTCCCGGTCGATTCTTTCCTTCACCACCAAAAGCCCTTTGTCTTCCTTCAGCTCGACGTACTGGATGCGCTCTCCACTTACGATACGGGCACGGCCAGAACGGAGCTTTTTCAGATCCAAGCCAAGGTCCTGCGTAACATTACCAATCACCGAGCCTCTCTTCATTTCCTCTGGAATAGAATATCTAAGGTGTCCGACAGCGAAATGGCAGATGAAACACAGGAAAAAAAATAACAAAAAAATATGTCCGACGCTACATTTTATCCATCGAATGTGGTTTAGTTTTTCAGGAGCCATTATGAGGAGAAACTTATAAGAAATGTAAAATTTATATTACTCCAAATACCTTTCTTCTGCAGGGAAAAACTAATGCCTTTTAAGAAAATTTCTGAGCCCCACTGCAATGTCTCACCCACTCCATAACAGCTTACATGAAAAAAAAAAAAACATCTCCTTTCCTCTGATAGGACACTAAATAAAAGGAGGGGAATGCGTATACGCCTTATATTTAAACCAACAGCGTCACTTAGAGTTCAGAATAGGTGATACAAACACGCGTTGTCTATCCACGATAAAATAACCAAGCATTTACAACTGGATTAAAATATGTATTAACCAAAACGATTCTATAAGTAAAAAAAAAATAAATAAAAAAATTTCCAAAAAGTAACAAATCTCAGTTCCAATTTAAGAGAACATTTTTCAGAAGAATGTAACCTGCATATGAGTAAAAGTGTAATTTAATGTTGATAATGATACTTTACCCCTGTTTTTGTTATA